ACATTTCTAGCACATTCCCCAGTGATGGCGATGATGCTGGACCACACATTGAGAACCATTGGTTATGTTTTTGGCCCCCAGAGAAAACTCTTGCTGGAACCCTTTCTTCTTCCCCATATACTCTTCCAGTACAGAAAAAAAGTTCAATGAAAGCATTATACTAAGTAATCCCATGAGATCAATCAACCAGCCAGTCTTCTGGGTGGCTCTGACAGTTTCTCAGATAGCACTGTGCTGTCCTGAAGGGCTTCCAGAAGCAAAGTCACACAGCCTTCTCGGTGGAGCCTCGCTGGGCCACTGACCAGACAGGCAGCCTGTAGAAAATGACCCGACAGCCTATGCCCTCTTATTTCTTCCATCTCTACTCCCTCCTTTGCTGATAACACATTGTTTCTAAGCAATGAGTATTACTAAACCAAAATGAATCTCATCTGTTTGTTAAAACTTCCTCCAGGAGCGCCTGGGTGGCTCAGGCTGGCTGGCTGGCTCTTGACTTCGGCTTAGGTCATGACCCCAGGGTCGTGGGATCGAGCCCTGGACTGGCTCTGTGCTGAGCGTGGAGCCTGCTTAAGATTTTCTCTCTCTCCCTCGCTGCCTTTCCCCCTCCCCCTCTTGCACTCGTGCACGCGTACTTTCTCTCAAAATAAATAAATAAATAAATAAATAAATAAATAAATAAATAACCTTCCTCCACAGATGTTTGTAAAATTATTATATCTGTCCAAGTTAATGTAGACACGCATTCACATTCAGAATCACGTCAGGGCTATGCAGGACCACAGGATACTATACATAAAAAGGGAGGAAAATCACGGCAAAGATAAATTGAGCAACGCTCAAAGATAACGCTGGGGCAAAGTTAGTACACAGAAACACAAGCTAGAAGACAAACTCAAAGAAGGAAGTGCAGTAGGTTTTGAGACTTAGGGTTTCTGAGCAGCTCTTGCACATGCTGAGATCCAAAAGATCTCTCCATCATTACGAAGGAACACAGCATCATGTGGCCGACCAGGTTCTCCACAACATCCCCACGCAAGACACAAAAATGTCTCACAGAGAACTTATTAGAATAGCCCTCAAAGGATACTTCAAGTACTTCAGGTTATAATATTCCCCAAAATATGGACCCTACAGGGTCCCTCATATCAAGGTAAATGCCTTACCCCCAGTAGCTTTGCAACAAGTACTTAAAAATTAAGAACATTTTTAGCAGGTGGGCTCTTCACTATCTATACCAAAGTGCAAAGATGAAGAACTACAAAGGCACTTCTTCCCAAACCCCCATCATTCTGACACTTTTGCCACTGCCCTTCTAACTTTTAGTTTGTGCTTTTTTTAAAGTAGGCTCCAGGGGTGCCTGAGTGGCTCGGTCGGTTAAGCATCCGACTTCAGCTCAGGTCATGATCTCACGGTTCGTGGGTTCGAGCCCCGTGTCAGGCTCCGTGCTGACAGCTCAGAGCCTGGAGCCTGCTTTGGATTCTGTCTCTCTCTCTCTGCCCCTCCCTTGCTCATGCTCTGTCTCTGTCTCTCAAAAATAAATAAATGTAAAAAAAAATTTTTTTAATAAAAATAAAGTAGCCTCCATGTCCAACATGGGGCTTGAACTCACAACCCTGAGATCAAGTCTCATGCTCTCCTGACTGAGCCAGCCAGGTGCCCCTGGCCACTACCCTTCTATTCAACTTAACTAAGTTCAATTTAATTCTCTAATGCTGGGAGACAATTATTACATCAAATGGTGAAAATCACTGCACATTTTCTTTTAAAAACAAAGTCCAGGGGCACCTGGGTGACTCAGTCCGTTAAGCGTCCAACTCTTGATTTCGGCTCAGGTCATAATCTCATGGTTCGTGAGATTGAGCCCCATGTGAGGCCCTGTGCTAACATTGTGGAGCCTGCTTGGTTTTCTCTTTCTCTCTCTCTCTGTCTCTCCCTCTCTCCCCCTGTCCCTCCCCCACTCCTGTGTGCTCTCTTTCACTCTCTCTCTCTCTCTTAAAATAAACTTAAAAAAATCATTTTAGACCAAATATTGGAAGGCTGAGATTCGAATCCTCTCCCCATAACTTAGTGGCTATGTGGCTTACTTTTTCTCAACCTTGGTTTTCTCATGTGTTAACTGGAAGAAAACTCACCACATAAATACTCATTTATTAAGAAAGGAATAGAAAAGCCTTTCTAAGAACAAATGTCTGAATTTGAAGTGAACCGCAATAAATGAAAATTCATTTGATGAATTACAATGATGGTAATAATTCTATCTGATGGTCATTGACTTGTTTGCCCCGGGGGGTAGTGATGCATTTGTGTAGAATAACAGATGTGATCCCTACCGGTGGCCACTGGGGCTCAAAGGGAGTAGGGACAGACTCACACCATGGGATGGTGGCAGGGGCGAAGCGCTTCAGCATAGTGCAGCCAAGGTGGCTCAGATCCAGAGAGTGAATTCAACAAACACGTCTACACCCATCATTGGAGCACGGGGACCTGGTGGATATCAGAGCCAAGGTACAAAGAAAATAGGGTTGGAGAAAAAAGGAGATAAAGACAAAACCAGTGAGTTGACATGGGAAGACAGGAGTCAGTCTGAAAAACTTCTGGCCGTTTGAAGCCAATGTCCACACCTCTCCTTTAAATACTTCTCAGGACCCATTTGCTGGTGGAAGCGAAGTCTGTTTAAATGGGCAGGGACCAGTCACACAGACACGCTCGCTCAGTTTACCCTATAATTAGTGGCAGATGCTTCCCAGCCTACCAGGAAACATGGAAGAACTAACAGGCCAGTCCGGGTTTCAGATTTGAACTCACCACACCAGTGTCCTTACTGAGGCCCTCAATCTCAGGGTGAACACACTAATGTGTTGAGAGACTTGTTCCTAGTAATAGTCAATGTGCTAATGTTTGTAAATGCCTTATGTGTTTATACACATGCTTTTCTGATTCATATAAATCAGAACAGGGTTGAGTTTATCCCTAGCTTAACCCCCCCCCCATTCACTGGTATTCTAATACGTTTCTTGAATTTAAAAGAAAACAAAATGGGCTAGCACCTAGTGGTCTGGGAGATGCATATAATCTGAGAGTTGCCCGTGAGAGTGTGCAATGTGAGGGAACGTCCTCAGTAGAGAGAGAAATGGTTGGAAGCCACCACCAGAACCAAGCCAGCTGAGTAGCTTCATGATGAAGATGACACAAGAGGTGGCATGAAATCACCATTGAAGAATCTGGGTAGGGTACCAATACCCAAGGGCTCTGTACTCACAATGGCAAAGAGTAGAATCCAGCTAACTGTAGATGGTCTTCTATGACCCTGAGCTAATGACTTATCTTGATGTTGATCATAAACCTCTCATCCTGAAAGCGCTCAAATTCACAATTTGACTTCACCCACTTGGAATTTTTTTTATAGTAGTTGGATGCTAATTGCCAGAACAGGAAAGTAATTAATCCAATTCTCTTTTGGAGTGACTCATTTCCAATTATGTACTAACAGCTCGTGGTGGTCAGCCTCCAAGATGGCATCCAGTGATGCCTCCTGGTACCTCCAGTACCTCCTGGTATGCACACCCTTGTGCAGTCTTAGCCACACTGTATCAGGGCATCTTGGTGTGGTCAATAAAATATGGCTCAAGTGATGACGTGTGACTTCCTACACTAGGTCATAAAAGACATTGCTATTTCTGCCTTGCCCCCTCAGATCTTGTTTTGGGAGAAGCTAGCTGTCATGCTGTGATAATACTCAAGCAGGCTTTGAGCAAGTTTCACTAGAAAGGGGACTGAGAAATCAGTTTTCCAACCATGTGGGTGCGCCATCTTGGAAGCAGGTCCTCCAGCCCCAAACCTCCAGATGACTGCAGACTCGGCTGACAGCTTGACTACAGTCTCATGACAATCCCTGAGCCAGAAACACTAGCTAATCCATTTCCAGAAACTACATAAGATAAGAAATGTTTATTGTTACTTTAAGTCATTAAGTTTTGGGATAATGTGCTACGTAGCAATAGATAGCAAATATATCACTGGTGTGCTAATTACAAATTACTTTTTATTATTAATTCAAACCAGATACTCAAGGATCTTTATTTTCCAATTTTTTTTTAATGCTTATTATTTTTGAGAGAGAGAGTGAGTGAGACAGAGAGCAAGCAGGGGAGGGGCAGAGAGAGAGGGAGACACAGAATTGGAAGCAGGCTCCAGGCTCTGAGCTGTCAGCACAGAGCCCAACACAGGCTTGAACTCATGAACCCACAAGACCATGAACTTAGCCCCTGGCTAAGGTGCCCCTGGTGCCTGGATGGCCCAGTTGGTTAAGTGTCCAACTTCAGCTCAGGTCATGATCTCATGGTTTGTGGGTTCGAATCCACATCAGGCTCTGTGCTGACAGCTCAGAGCCTGGAGCCTGCTTCCAATTCTTTGTCTCCCTCTCTTTGCCTTTCCCCTGCTCATGCTCTGTCTCTCTTTCTCAAAAATAAACTTAAAAATTTTTTTAAATAAAAAAAACTTTTTTAATTAAAAAAATTTTAAGAAAGACTTGTTGCTAATTCTTCATAAGTAGCCCAAATGAGTTTCAGGTTTTATTATACATATGTGAATCTATTTCTTACTTTGACCAATTGGCAATGTTATTTATTTGGGATTAGAGTCTGTTCTCCATTGGCGACCCTTCAGAAACAAGTCATCCAAAATCTGGTCCATTGTATATGTGTGTATATTTTATGGCAATGTCTAGGCCGCTACTTGGGACATGAATAAGTTACTTGTGTTTATTTAAAAAGCCACAGGGTGTCATCAAAAGAATTTGACCATATCAGAAGAATTTCTTTTCCTCCCCTGAATCTGGCAAAAAGGTTTTATTTATGGTACCAAGAAAGAATGGGCAGCACAGGTGATCTCCGAGGATTTTTTGCCACCTCTAAAATAGAGCAAACAATTTTGGAATTATTCCTCCTTTTTAGTATAAATCAGGAGACAGAAAACCTAAAGCCCAAACAATGAATTCTCACCGCAGGAAAGGTGTGCCCCATAAGCACTGTCTGAAGAAAATGTGTCTGCTTAGGCCAACGCATCATCCTGAAGCACTACAGAGCCCACTTCCTAGGGCATCATGCCATAGTCGGGTCTGTGTGTTCTGAAAACATCCGACACAGCAACATCTGGGAATTTCAGAAAAAAACAAAAAACATATTCCAAAGTCAATATAAGCCGTTTACGTTGTTGCCATCCTGAATTATACATTCCCCTTTAATTAGTGCAAATAATCAAAAGCTAGCAATATTTACAAAAGTCTTAGTTATGATTTATTTTCCTCAAGAAAGAATTCTACCCACCAATTGCAGATTGGGAAATGAAAGTAATCAGGCTAATCAAGATTTTAGCCGAAAGGCAAAAAAAAAAAATAAAATAAAATAAATAAATAGGCCATCCGGAAGATAGTTCCCAAATGTTCCAGCATGAGTTCTTTCCCCCTAAAATACTTTCTAGTGTCCCTTATTTTCTGATGAGAATTTCTTTACTTTCCATCCCTCTGCCTCCAAGAAGCCTTCCTGATACCTAGACTGTGTGAAGGGCCCCTCCTCTGAGCACCCACTCCATACAGTAAACATTCTAAAGGCTCTGTTCCTATTTAAGTTTTAAGTCCCAAGTGCCTAGCACAGAGACTGGCACACGGTAGGAACAAATAATATGTATTGATTGAAGTGTATATTGGGCCCATGATTTTCATATAACGTTTTGCTCTTCCTCATATTGTTTATAGACCATTCCTTTTGATTCATTTTCTCTGCCAATTCCCCCTTTATACAAATCTCTCATTCTGAAAGTCTATGTTTTGCTAAGTTTCAACTGGCTGAAAGCAAAAAAACAGGACAAAAATGTCTACATTTTTCACCCAGCGTGTGAGACTACTATAATCCAAAAAACGACCATGTAACTTTCCACCCACCATGATGGCTATAAGCAAAAACAGAAAATTACAAATGTTAGTAAAGATGCAGAGAAATTAGAACCCTCATATATTGCTGGTGGGAACATAAAACAGCTAAGCCAGCGTGGGAAATCAATTTGGTGATTCCTTAAAAACTTCAACATAAAAGTACACATGACCCAACAATTCCGCTCCTACTTCCATACCCAAAAGCACCGAAAACAGGTTGTTCAAACAAAAACTTGTACACAAGTGTTCACAGTAGCGCTGTTCACAATAGCTAAAAGGTGGGAACCATCCAGATGTCCATTAACTAAAGAACATGTGGTATCTCATGCAATGGAATGTCGCTGGACCATGAAAAGGAAAGAAATAGTGATACATGCCACAGCACAGAGAAACCTTGAAAATGGTATGCTAAGAGACAGAAGCCAGTAACAAAAGACCACATATTACATAATTCCATTTATAGGAAATGTCCGGAACAGGCAAATCTAGAGAGACAGAAAGCAGACTAGTGGTTGCCTGGGACAAGGATGGAAAGATAAGTGGATGGCTAAAGGGTAAGGGGCTTCTCTTGTAGGTGATGAAAATGTTCTAAAATTTACTGGTGGAGGCTGCACATTATCTGTGAATATATTAAAAGCCATCACACTGCACACTTTAAATGGGTGGACTGTATGGTATGTGATTATAACTCAGGAAAGGTATTTTAAAAAACTACCAGGTAGCACAAGGAAATTCAAGAGGTGTTGGGATTGTCCTGTGTTCTGTTAGTGGTGGTATTTGGCAAGACTCGGTGCATGAGTTAAAATCTACAGAACTTGGGGCACCTGGGTGGCTCAGTACTGACTGAGTGTCCAACTTTGGCTCAGGTCATGATCTCATGGTTTGTGAGTTTGAGCCCTGTGTCAGGCTCTGTGCTGACAGCTCAGAGCCCGGAGCCCGCTTCGGATTCTGTGTGTGTGTGTGTGTGTGTGTGTGTGTGTGTGTGTGTGCGCGTGCCCCTCCCCCACTCATGCTAGGTCTCTGTCTCTGTCTCTCTCTCACTCTCTCAAAAATAAGCATTACAAAAAATTACATATTGGAATTATGAACTGGGATCCATGGTCAACTTCAGTTGCGATTGGTTTATCTAGTCAAAAATTCCTGAGCACACTCAAAGAGAACGCTCAGATACAAGGAGCCAAGCCTGAACCTTGTTCGTCAGGCTGCATTCTGCGGCTGAAATCCAGACCATATGGAATCACTTCAGAGAGATCATCACCCATGTAGTCTCATCTCCACTTCATGCTTCAGGCAGAGGTGTTGATTCGGTGGTCCAAGATTTCCTTCCAGGTCCCCAAACCCCTGGTGATTGAAATCTCCATCTCACACGTACCAGATAATGAACCTGGGTCCACAATGTAGAAGGGCAGGCGGTGACGTAGGAACTAAACCAGGTCATTGTTAACATCCTGTGACCCTCTCATGGGAGTTAGGGAAGCCTGGTACCCTAATCATGAAAATACCCCTGCCATCCCTTCGTCCTTCACTCCAATCCTCGAAGACTCTGACCGAAGAGTGATACGTTCCACAGTAGGGACCACATGCGTGCACCTGAATGTGCCAGACTCCACAGCATCCACAGGCATGAAGTGAGAGCAGGGACCACCGGTATCAGCTGGGATTAGATGCGACCACATATAATGGAAAGCCCAAAATGACTGAGGTCTAAACACAAAAAAGTTACTCTGCCACATAAAAGAGGTCTTTGGGGAGGCAACCCATGATTGATACGAAGTCAACAGGGACTAATCCTTCCGCCTTTCTGCTCTGCCAACCTCAGTGCCTGGCTTCTACACTTATGGCCCAGCATGACCGCTGAGGCTCCAGATGCCATCTTTCAATTCCGGGCAGCAGCGAGGAGAAAGAGTAGAACAATAATAACACAGGCACACCTCTGGGCTGAATCGGCAGTCTTTAGAGAGCCTTCCTGGAGATCCACGTGAAGGCTCCATTTGGATTTCAAGGAACAGAACATGGTCACAAGGCTACAGGTAAGGAGAAAAGGAAGCTGAAAAAGTGTCGCTTTTCAGTGGACACCTTGCTGCCCTCAATGATGCAGGAGTTCTGCTGGTCAAGAAGAAGCCAGAATGAATGCTGGGCAGAGAACCTGCGAGTAGATCCCACCAGCCCCGTGTCTTCTGGGATACCCGGAGCTGGCCCTGCGAGGAGCCCATTCAGTGCTGCTGATCTGATCTGATCTGCAGCAGTCAGACAGCCTGATCTAGAAGTGGCTTTGTTTTCTGCTCGTGTAAACAGGCAACTGTCTTGTCTGGCCCACAGCGCCTGGACTAAGCAGATAGGGCATGGTTTTTCCAGTCTTTGTGGAAGGAATTGGTCAAAAACATTGATATTTTTTCTTAGAAACCACAGCTCTCTGCGAAAATGAAAGGAAATTATTCCAATTTTCTAAACCATCTAGGCTTCTCAGATAGGTGAGAAATGAGAACACACTGTGTCATTCTGTCTTCAAGGTCACCCCATAATTCTCCCACCCGCAGATCCATACAGACCAATGGAAAATAGTCACATCTGAAGGAATGGGGGTCAACAGTAGGTATCTTCTGTGTCCTAAAGGTGCCACTGAGAATGTGCCATTCTCTCTAAGGAGAGGCCCTGCATACGTATCCCCTCAGGAGCAGAAGACAGATTCATGGACTAGCTCTTGTCCAACTCTTTTATTTGTAAAAACCCTTGCCTCTAGGGAAAAGAAATGGGATACAAAATGAGTGTAAGTGACTTTCCCAATTTCTCCAATGCAGAGCTTTTAATTGGGTCCTAGCTCTCAGTCCCCTGTTCAAATCAACATAACCCAAACTATTATTGAAAAAGGAAAAAATCTACAATGGAGAACCAAATGTTTGAGATTCTGAAACATCTTACATTTCTGTCTACACTGATTTAGTTATCCAGATCAGTGTTTGATTCTTGATTTCATCTTGCCTTGCCTTGGTCTCTATAAGGTCACCCATTTAACTCAATCATTATTTATTGAAAGCTTACTCAGCGGCCAGAAAGAAGTATGTTATGAGAGGGTTACAAAAGGACTGCAAGATATGGCCTTATAGGGGCACCTGGGTGGCTCAGTCAGTTGAGTGCCCAACTTTTGATTTCGGCTCAGGCCATGGCCTCACAGTTGTGAGACTGAGCTCTATGTCAGGCTCCATGTTGAGCGTGGAGCCTGCTTGGGATTCTTTCTCTCCCTCTCTCTCTGCCCCTGCCCCGCTCAAGCACTCTCTCATGCTCTCTCTTTCTCTCAAAATAAATGAAGAAGTAAGCATTAAAGATGATGGCCTTATAATGTTACTGTGTTAAGATGTATGACCATGAATTAATTAGGTCAATTTTTAAACAAACACACCAAAGACTACACACATCCATGTGAGTGGCACCTCACCTTAGGAAGCGCACAACCCAATGATGGTGCCATCACTTAAAATATTTTTAGAACTCATATTTGTGAATTCTTTTCAATAAATGAACCAAATTATATTGGGCACCTGTAATCGCCACTAGGTCTTTTTGCTTTGAGAATGGAATTTATTTTTCAGGGCAAGCCAAAAGCATTCAGAACCAAGTCTGGTAAAACAGGTGGATGGTCAGTTTAGGTTCCTGGTGACATTCTATCAGCCCACGAGGTCATCCGCCAGACCTCTTTTTCCATAATAGAATAATCTTGGTATGTTTAGGCCAGCGGTTCTCAAACTTTAACATACATCAGAATCATGCGGAGGGCTCATTAGACCATAGATGGCTGGGCTCCAATTTCTGATTCTTCAGGTATGACTTAGGTCTAAGAATCTGCATTTCTAATAAGCTCTCAAATGACGCTGATGATGCTGGTTCAGGAACCATACTTTGAGAACCACTGCTTTAAAACAGTTATTTTAGGTTTTCCTTGAGACAGAGCCACACTTAATCTTACCGGATGTAAATCATCCCTGCTGTCAGAGAACTTCTTTATTACTTCTCGTACTGGGTTCTGGACACTTCATGGCCTCGTGCCTTCCAGGTATGAAACTGGAGATGTGCCCATGGTCCCTACTGATAATGTGTCACTTTTCACCCAGAGCCACAGAGGATGGAGCTAATGTCTGCAGTGGAAGGGGCTCACAGGTGTTTCTGTGATTAGAACTTGAGCTTTGCCCAGTACCCAGGAAAGTCACAGAATATTTGAACTGGAAGGGATATTAATTATCATCTAGCCTAACTAAGGTCCAACCCCACTCCCCTCATTTGAGAGCTGAGGAAACCAGGTCACCTAGTAACTTCACCCAATGGAACCCAAGTTCAGAGTCACCCAGTAAGTTACAGGACAATTACATAGGATCCATGAGAAAGTATCCGGGTCACCTTCTATTTACAGAGGACAGGATCATGATCTCATCCAACCAGCACCAAATGCAATGTGAGGTAGGCCTAATACAGTGTGTGCCTCCCCCAAAGAAGAAATAGTGCAAATCAGACTACATATTTCTACCCCTTCCATCCCATAATAACTGCAATGGGAAACATCACTATTTACCCCCCTGTGGTGAAGTAGTCTTCATACTTGAGACATAACCCATTGACTCCATCTCCAACGATAAAGCCCTGTTTCTAGAAGACGACAGAGGGAGGTGAAGTGAAGGTCAGCTAGAATGCACATCCTTCCACTTCTTTGGTGTAAACATTCACTATTTGTGGTAAATGTCCACATGTCAGCAGAGAAACGGTCAAGAAACCACAATGAGTTGACTTGGCTGAGCCCCAATAGTGTTCTAAGCTGCAGTGCATGTCAACATCTGGTCTCAACCTCATTTCAATCTGGTACCAATTGATGGGATGGCACGGGTGCTTTGGAAGCCACATGCCAGGAAGAGGCTGCTGGGGAGGGTGAAACGGGGAAAGGGGGAGCATGGCGGGAAGAAAGGCTAGAAAACTCAGGGAGGACACAACCTGGGGAAGCCTGATTGTTTTAGTGTCTGCCCACCCTGGAACTGGCTACTTATGATGATGGATCCAGCCTATAAAACTCAGCCATATGGCCCCCAATGCCTTGTTCCATTTGTTCAGCCTCACAGGACCTGCCCCCCCACCTGTGCCCCTGAAACAATACACAGCCCCTATGGGGGAAATACTAACATCTCCTCCCTTTTTCACAGCCATGTTTTGCCCTTTTCTTCTCCTCCACCAATTCTACTGGAAACCCGCCTTCTCTAGAAAACTACCTCCAACTCACCTACATACCTGCTACCCACCCCGCCCCCACCAGGAAACTTCTAAGCGCAATTCCTTACAGTGAGTTGATTGCATTCTCGAATGTGAGCATTTTATCTTCTGTTCTTAGTGATCAAAAGCAGGTGCTTTATTTCCTTGGTGAGATTCTGCTCATGTTGTTCTTCTCGCTTTCCCAATTTTTCTAGCTCCTCCTGTTCCCCATGGAGTGCTGACTGTTCAGGTACCTGGAAAAGGCAGTCAGGTTAATACTCCTGAAGTGCCCTGCACGTTAGGGCTGAGCCCGTCTAAGAATACCACTAACAGTTTGGGGAAAGCTTGAAAAGATCTGTCTGGGAAAGGTCTGGAGAGGTGTCTTAAAGAACCCACAAGGTCAGGCGTGCATGGTTGCTATGGTTACCAGGTCCTGGAGGTCTAGCCACCTCTTTCTGACAAGGTAATCCTCCGTGAAGCAAAAAGGACATGCAGGTGCCCAAATCCAACTCCCCCCAAGAGCTGGGAGAGCACTGACGGTCACATTAGCCAGCTTGTCACAATGTCACAGCATAGTTAGAGATCACCAGGGCTGTGAGGGGAACACACATGGAAAGCCACTTTGTGAATATTTGTTAACATTAGAATGACATTCAGGGCACCTGGGTGGTTCAGTCAGTGGTTCAGCTGAGACTTTGGCTCGGGTCATGATGTGGGTTCAAGCCCCACATCACGCTCTGTGCTGATAGCTCAGAGCCTGGAGCCTGCTTCAGATTCTGTGTCTCTCCCTCTCTCTGTCCCTCCTCCATTTGCATCTCTCTCCCTCTCAAATAGATTTAAATAGATTTAAATCTCAAAATAGATTTAAAAAAAAAAAACATTTTTAAAAATTAAAAAAAAAAAGATGAGAATGAAATTAAACAATGAAGTCAAAGCCAAACGCTCCTTGTACTGAGTCTCATTCTGTTTTGCTTTGTTTCTGTTTCCTCTTGAACCACAACTAACATCACATCTGTCTGTATGGTTCTTCTGTGCCTGGCAGCCAAGCCCTTGGACGTGAACAAGGCTGGGGCAGTGGGGAAATGAGTGAGCCAGGACCCCATCAAGACCGTTTCCCCTTCCTACCTGAGTCTCAAACGATGGTTTTCCAAGTTCCAGATGGTGATCATGATTGTTAAAAAGCAAGCATTATCCCTGTTAACGAGGATAATAAAACTGCACAATTCATAAGCACCAACAGCATATGGAACACCCAACAAAACACAGATTTTCCTGGCATTATCAGGAAATGAAGTTTTCCACATCAGTGAATTTTCTAGAAAATTAGGGCTTACCTCTTTAGCGTCCATATTTTTTTCTGAAGATATTAACCATTTGGGATAGAAATATGCGTCAGATCTGTAGTACCCTTTCCTATCTTGCTAAACAGTTTGTCGAACATGACATTCACCATTTTTTTTTCCTGGATGTCTCACTACGAACATGTGATGCCCATAGAAAGGGTGTGTCTCCCTTTACAACGATTCTGGGTCTTTACTGGGACAGCCCGCTTCACGTTGGCCTAGAAGCAGCTGTCCACCGGGCTCCCCGCCCTAGATGGCAAGCACCCTGAGTGAGAGCCAGAGCTTTCTATCCTTAAGCCGGTATCCCCTACAACCTTGCCATTCAAAAGGTGGTCCCCGGACAGCGAATCAGGAGGTCGTCAGAACCGCAGACTCTCCGGCCCCTTCTCCGACCTGCTGAATGAATTAGATTCTGAATTTTAATAAGACCTTCAGATGATTCGCATGCACATTAAACACGGAAAACTATTACCCTCCAGCTGTGTGTGCCAGCCTGGCCCTGGCCCCTCACTCGTCATCACCTGCAGAGGCCTGTTAGAATCACGGGACACGGGGCCCTGTTTAGACCCCAAAACCAGAATTTCCCCCAGTGAAGCCCAGAAATCTATTTTTATCACACCCCAGGGGCAATTCTGATGTGCACCCATATGGAGTATCCGGCCCCAGATTTTGCTCTCAGGAGGCACCCCAGTTTTCTCTCTCCACTCACATTCTTCATTTCAACTCTTCCTAACAAACCAAACCCACGAACTTTTTGCAAAGCGTTGTAGAGGCCGCCTCAAAACTGTACCATCATTCCTGTAGGTGGGGGGGAGGCGGGACGGTCCACGGCGTCAGGCCCAAGCCTGAAGTTTGGCCGCGTCCTGTCATCAGTGCTTCAGCCTCATCAGGGAGGCTTGACCAAACCTCCTGACGAACGCATTTCTGCGGCTCCCCCAGCCTCTCTCGCGGCTCGGGGAGCTTGAGTTTGCGTGGGGAGCCGCCTTCACAGCCCGGCCCAGAGCTGCGCACGGCAGCGGCGGGGCGCGCCAAGGTCACGGACATTGGGACTCCTGCAGAAGCTTCCGCGGGGACGTCGTCTCCTGCGCGCCCGCCGGGTTCCCCTCTGCTCCGGGCATCTGGAGCCCGCGGGGAATGCGGCCACCTGAAGCCGGAACCGCCCCGGACCCCAGACCCCACCACCCAGGTACCCCCCTCCCCGCGCGAAACCTCTCGCGCGCGTAACACACGTGGTCTTTATTAGTCTTCACTAAACTGAATGGAATTCTTGTCTTTGTGTCTCCTGGGTAGCCTGTCTCCTCCTGCACCAGCGAGCTGACAGGTGTTAGTTCTTTTTGTCTAAGCAGATACGATCCCGTTTCTAATTTTCTGACACGGTGGTTAAGATCTCCAGCTTTACTAAGTGAAAGAAGCCAGACACAAAAGGCCACGTATTGTATGATTGCATTTACATGAAATGTCCCGAAGAGACAAATCCTTAGAGATGGAAAGTGAGTTAGTGAG